GGTTCTGTGTACAAACGAAAATTAAAGCCGGCGCTTTAGATATACAACTGCACACAGGACGACCATGCATCAAGCAGGATTTGCATTTCTCTCTCCTCCTTGCTACTGCTGCTGCATCTACTACTGCTATACCTCCTACATCGCTTACACTTGGTTTCCGCCACTGCGAGCACTGTGTCCTCTGTCCCTGGGTGTGTCTGTTTGTTTGGCTGCTCATCTTGCGTGCTACCCCTATCTGCATCCCTTTGCCATGAGCCGGAGTATACTCTGCTCTGCCGCTAATGTGCTTTTTGCTGTCAGTTTACGGTTTTTGGATTTTTGGCTTGTTTTATTACCTTTTAAGCCTCGTGGTAGCGGCACTTTGTGTCGCCTCCCTCCCGCTCCTCCCTCCATCCCCTTTCCGCTAGCCTAGCAAAGTATTCTGCAGTAATTGCAGTGTGTGCTTCGGCCGCTCTGGCTGCGGCACAAGACATTTGACAAATGCTCTGTCGTGAACTTTAAGCTGGCGCTCCAAAAAGTATGCAATAGTTTATTTTCGAGCAACCGAAATGAATTTCCGTTTAAATGTTTTATAAATTGAGTGTCTGGCTGTTGCAAGAACTGCATAATATCATATTGGCACTATAGAAAAGAAGAGGGCTTTGGACTGGGGTATTTTTTAGTTTTGATTGGGATTTTTGAGTTTTGAGCTTTCTTTAAGCATTTAGCAAACTGTGATTAGTTTGGAGATAATATTACATATTTCTTGAAGTAAATTGTTCACAGCTGAATATATATCTGCTACAAAGGGATATGAAATTTTCTGTTATTTTTATTTAACTTTTAATAAATTGTTATATTCTGTGTCATGCAGTATTTAATTAATTCAAATCGCAAATTAGCTTCCTGAAACATGCAGTTGTATGAGAGTTCTGTACGAAGTAATCATTTCCTAATTAGAATATTTGGTGGCATGCCTCAAAGTGCTTAATCTTATTAAACTAATTGTGTAAATAGCTAAGCATAACAGCTGTAAAACATATGCCCTACTCACTGCACAGGCCTTCGGCCATTTGGACTTTGGACTGACTGGGTTGGGGTATGTCTGAGTTGCTGTCTAATGTTTCTATTTTTTTATGTTTACGATTGAAAGTCTGTGGCACTGTTTGGCAGTTTACATTTTGCGCCACACTCGATAAAATGGCGCTGGCAAATGTAGCGCAACGTCGCTTGAGTGCTCCATTGAAGCGCTTAATTAAAAAAGAATCGTGCAGAGCTGGGCACTCAGCTCGTACACTAATGTGTTTCCGTCCAAGTTTAGCAATTGCATTAATTATTAGGAGAGTGCTCTCGAGCCTGTGCGCCCCACCATCATTGGCTTACCAAATCGATGAGCTGCGAGAGGCGTAGACCCAGCTTGACTAGCACCGTGTCCGTGTTGTTGCTGACGGGTCGTATGAGTCGATTGTAGTTGCTCAGCAGATCGTCGTAGAGACGCTTGGCATCCGGATTGGCCTGCACCGTTTCGCAGAAGACCAACAGAAAGGCCAGCAGTAGGCAGAGCAACTTGCAATGCCGCCAAATGTCCAGTAGGAGGGCCAGACGTGGCCGAGCCCAGCGCCACATGACGTCACAGCGGCAGTTGCCTTGAAGGCGCTTGGCCGGTGTTTTATTGATACTAAAATCACGCGCACAGGTTTTTGTTTACCTTTCGGTCTTGCCTAGTGTGCGTGACGTAGTTGCGAGAGCAGTTTCCGTGCCGAGTTTTGTTGTTCGTCTCGGGTTTTAGTACCTGCGATGAGCTAAAACTGCCAATGCAATAAGTCTACACTCGACGCACAGCTGCGCAACGCCAGCGCCGACGCAGATGGGACGCACTCACTCTGAATAAGGCGACGACTGTGATGCCAGCCGAGGCAGCGACTGCGGCAGCAGCTGAGCGGCAGAGCAGCTGAGCTGTAACAGAGCTCTCGTGCCTAGCTCTGAGCTGCACCCATGCAGCTGACGTTGTCAACGAGCCGACTGCGTATGTAAATAATGAATTTGATAATGGCACAGTGATATTTTCAAGAATTATTATTAATTTTAAAATTAATGACTTAACAAATATTGCTAATTAACTGATGCAAACATTTAATTATTTAACTGATTCGATTATTTTTATTTTCACTTGTGGCTTAGCTTTTGCACGCCGTTCGCTCCGAGTTGTCCTGCATAGATATTCACAGAATTCATACTGACGTGCGTTTTGTTTTTGTAGCCTGCCTTGGCCCTCTCAACCAAAGAGTCGCAGCGACTGCGGCGCCAGCATACATTGCCGTGATGCTTTGTAGCTTTGTCGCCAGCAACGCGCAGATGCTGCGCAGCGCATGCGCAGTGGCCTTCACCCTGTTTTTGAGTGCAGCTGGCGGAGGTCCCGGCTGGTCGGGTGTGCTGGCTGTGCTTTCACATAATCTTACCCATTTTGTTGCTTAAGCCAAGCCCAATACTGTCAATCCCTCTCTCTTCCACGCTCTCGCTCTCACTCTCACTCCCTCTCTGTCTCTCTCGCTCTCAATTTGTGGCTGCCGCTGTGGCTAGTTGCTCTCTTCAGTTGTTAATCCAGCGACTCCATTACAACTTCAATCGCTCTGTTTGGATGCTCTCTTGCTTTTGAACGAGCCACAGCCCAAAAAAATGCCCATGCAAGTACTTCAAACCCAACTCTTGTCGTACGAAAAAAGCACCCACACTTCCACGCAGCTTCGACGGCGCACACACGCACACACATTCCTGTATGGAATGTATGCTCGTATGGGGCAGTTGTATCGCATATTACACATTCGTTTAACCAACAACCAAATTTTTCGTAATTGTCAACATTCGTTAAAATGCACGTTAACATGTTGCTAGGACATAACTCCACACCCACACCCGAACACACAGCCACACACACACACACACACACACACATACGCATGCACACCTTTCAACATCATTTTGCATGTTTACCGTTGCAATGTTGGCAATGCTCAGTTTTTGGGTTTTGGTTTTGGCTTTGGTTTGCCGTTTGGTTGAACCCCGTTCGCATATGTGTCATATTGCGATTTTGAGTTGTGTCTGCGGCTTGATTGTGCCGCAGCAATAGCAACTTGCACACACTCCAAACTGTTCGTTTCTCAGTAATGCGCTACGACTGCTGACAGCAACAGCAGTAACAGCAGCAGCAACATCAACTTCAACAACAACAATAATGATGGCTACAACCGCAGAACACTCCATGTTGAAGGCTGTGCTTTGACAAGTGCACGCAGCAGCTTCTGCTCTTGCCACAAAAGCAAGCTGTGAGGTGTATATAGGGTTTTTGTAACATTAATAATCTTCTTAAAAATTGATTGAAAATACAAAATTATCGTGACTAGTTATAAATTATTTTCACAATATATTATATTATTATAAATAATTTCCTCAATATATTTTTCGAAATTTTCTCAATTTTCTATATATTTTTCGGGTAAAATAAAATCATCAAAAGAACTTATTTTCTACGTTTAAGTAGGTATAACTTAACTAAAGAACTGCTTAAAGAATTTTCGATTCTAGAACTGCAATTAATTTTTTTATAATATTCCATCATTAATAATTGTTAAGCTTGACTGAAATAATTTTAAAGTAAGCAAGCTTTAGAGCTACTGAATCCATATGATATGCTAGACTAACTCGATTTCACTCGAGGCCTGAAGTGAAATGTAGAATTATATTATATAATACATTAAATAATTATAAATCGAAAAACTTTTTTAATTCTGCAGTCATTTAAAAACAATTTATTATTCCTAAATCTTAATAAATTTGTAAATTATTGTTACTTTTACATTACATATTTAAATTCTAGAAATTTGCCCAACAATTTTCCGATTTTCATTAGAGTATGGACGCTGTGACCCCTTGCTTGGCTTTGCTGCTGCCGCTGCTTTTGTGAATGCTGTTGCTATTATTGTTATTGTTAGTGTCCAGTGTGTACCGAAAATGCCTTAATGATACATGAACTTTGTCATTGGGGCTGGCATTGAGCCGCGTGTGTTTTATGGCTTACGGTCAATGGCCGTCGTTTGCTTTTTAGCTGCTTTCGGGGTCTACACCGAAATATTTGGTCACATCAGCAATTTTCTTTAGCTAACCATTAACTGAGAGCGACAACAACAGAGGACTGCGAATCAATTTAATGAGCCAAGCATGCGCCTGCTGCTCTTTTTGTCACAGCCAGATTAAATCTATGTGGAGTCTATTAGCTGTTTTTATAGTTTTTATGTTTTGTTTGCCTGTTACACTTTCAAGGGATGCCCTTTAAAGCTTATGTTTCCCTGCTTTGTAGTGGCTTCTTTTTTAGTTTTTCATTAGCCCTGCATATGTATGTGTATGTGTGGTGGCTATGCTGCTCTATATGATCCATAGCCGCGCATATTTTATTGCTGGCAATATAACAAAGCAATCAATAGTACAACAACAATGAGAGCACTGCGGCACAATAACAAACAACAAATTTGCTTGTTTGCAACTCGAACTTTGATTCTGCGTTTTTTCTATTATTTGTTTTGTTTTTGTTTTTCGCTGTGGTTTTCCACATCGACAACAACAACAAGAACAACAAAAAGCAGAAAAAAACTGAAACATTTGTTATATGCAGTCGCCACCAATAGGTCAACAAAAACAAAATAGAACTTGAGCTGAGCAAAGAGCTGATCGACTATTAAATACCCATGATATTTCACATATTTGCTTTGAGAACTGAATGTTGCTTGGCTACTTGGTTACTCATTAATATTTTCTTATCATTATATCATCAATTTATATATATTTCTAAGCATATTTGTGGTATTGCTACATACATGTAAGTAAGTGAAATAATTTTGGAAAATGAGATAATAATTAAATTATATGAAGTAGTCTTTAAGTCAATTATAGATTGTGTTAACTGAGTGTCGTTTATAAATTTCTCGGTTAAGGCGCACAAGTTGACAACTCAAGGGTATTAGCAAAGTTTACAAAACAATTTCGTAAACTCTGCTTTTATCATGCTCAGATGAAGTGAAGTTGAAGCAAACACCTGGGATAACGCGACTGTGCGGCTCAGTGGGAAACATGTATAGAATAGAGGGTCCAATGGCCACCCATTCATAGTTCTCTGACTTTTTGATTTTAACCCGAAAGCCCGACCACCTCTAACACCGGGTCACATAGAGCAGCAGAAGCACAGTGGGTGCGTTGGGAGTAACAGCAACGGGAAAGGCAGCGGCAACAGCAAGAAAACTCAATTAAAATTTAAATTTTCAAACGTAAATGACAAAACTTTCTCAACTATAAATAATCGGCAGTCGCTCCACTTGGCTCGGTTCGGTTGCCTGCCCTTGCAGCCACTTCAAAATCTGACAAGAGCCGCGATGCTGGCGCTCACCTCTCACGTTGCCCGCCAGTGTCCCACATCACGCATACTGTTCCATTCTATAGCACCACCCTCTATAAAGAGCGTGCGTAGCTGCGTGATCGAAAGTTTTGTCTATGCTCGTACAATTTATCTAACTTTTATAGCAACCACAGCAACGGCAATGGCAACAAGAAAAAAAGGAAAAAAGCAATCGCTGGTTTGGCCAGAAATTAATTGCAAAACTGTGTGGTATGTGGGAAGGCAGAGCGGGCGTGTCAGACGGTGGGCGCTCGAGTATAGAGGGAGGCCAATCACAATGAGCGTTTGCCACTTGAACAACATAAAACTGATTGCTGTAAATCTGGCCCATTGGGTATGGCCAACCCGCTCCCTTTCAGGCCCAAATCGTGTATTGTTTGGTTCGTCAATTCATGGGCTGCGCTTGTCGTGGCCATTGTTGACACGTTTAAGTGCCGTTTGCTTTTATCAACGGCGTCCACAACAACCACAGCGGCAATGCGAAGCTCAAATTGAGGCCTCAATAGCTTCAGAGCCACTGCTACTGCCAGAGCCAGAACCAGACCCAAAAGCGACGGGCACATAACATTTTTACAACGTTTTTAATTGTTTTTGTCAACTGTGAATTTCGTGGCACTCTTGAGTGTGGGACGACCCATCAATTTAATGGCATTTTCGCGTGAGGCACAAAATCAAAGCCGTGCGGCAATAGCACCAGCAGCAGCAACGCCATCTGCCAGTCTGTCAATTAATGTAGATAACATTTTATGATGAGCAGTGACAAGTCGTCTCGAAAATGACAGCGCATTACTCGCCCATTGGCGGCTTGTTTATTGCGTCCTTAAGCTCGATGCGCTGCCTCCATAAAAACATAAAAATGATGCATAGTTTTTGGCGGCTCTAAGCGCTGTCTTTAATTGCACACACTTCACATGGAGCTAACCAATAGGCGTGCGATACAATCGCTGACAATTTGCCCGGCGAATGAGGCGTATGCGTAATTACACATAGATAAATGAATAATATGTCAGCTTGTTGGTCGCTGCCATTAAGCTCATTATAAGTCTAATGCTCTTATTAATATGGTCTGTGCTGGCCTCAGACTTTCTACTGCTCTAGGCAGGACTAAGGCCAATTTCTACTATGGCTGTTTACCAATTTGTGGTTATAGAAATGCCCAAGAATTATTTCTCCGAATTTCAGAACTGTAAACAAGCCGAACAATCACATTGTTCAATTTTCATCACCATTTTTGAGCACTTAAAAATGCCATTTATCCCAAGCTGAATGCTCATTGAGTTTAGTTTTACGTGATTGCATTTACCTTAATTCGATTCGAAAGCGGTTTTCATCGCTAATCTGCCACTAATTTGCTTGCCACATTATGGCTAAGGCATAATAATATAATATTATTTATTTTTTTATTTTTTCTGCTGCCACACCCCAGCGCTTTTGCGCAAAGCACCACGCCCACGCAGTTGTGAGTCGCGAGTGGAGGCCGACGTAGTCATCAAGCGTCTGACTTAACAACTTTGCAGCGACAAGTTTCAATGTCTTTTTTCGCGTGCGCGCGTGGTACTATGAATACTTTGTGAAGTTTTTGCTTTTAGACAAGCTCGTCATCGTAGGCAGCTCCTCGTGGCACTGTCAGTGGCTTTGCCACTGCTTGTGCTCGTGCCCATCTCTAATCCCATTTCTATTCGCAAAAGTCTTCCCAAACGTTTATGGCGCGCACTGCCTGGGCTTCGCACTCGTCGTTGTCGTCGTCAACCTCATCCTCGTCGTCATTTCGTTTGTGCCTTGGCAGCGTCTTTGTGTTGCTTGGCTGCATTCGAAAGTTCACTCGACTCAAAAGTGTGATTTACCAAAGTCACCCAAAACACCGAAAGTAAATTAACTGTTACAAATGTGCGTTTGTATATCTGTGTGTGTTGGTGTGTGTGTCTGTGTGCCTCTGTGTAGTTGCCTGTGTATGACTGGCTAATCATGCGTTTATTGCGCAGCGTCTACGATGCGTATGCGTAATACAATATTCAGCGCGTCTAATCAACTTTCATCGAGCCTGCGGGCGCAGCTACTCAATGGGTATGTTTAAAATATCAAAGGAAAATAATTAATTCAAATTCGTCTTCAAGTTAAAGTGAAGATTTACAAAAGTCTCAGGTGTGGGCATCTACTAACTCACATCAGTTACTAATATTGAAAATTGTTGAATTGAGAATGTATTAAAGTTTGTCATTGGTATTAAATAGATGTCCTCTTTTATTATTTTTGTACTTCAGCCATGTTGCATATACTTCTTGCCGATATCTTCCTTTCCTGTTGCAGAAAACCA